AACCCTAAACCCTAAACAGGGGTTTGTGGCTTACGGCCTGGGGGCCCAGAAGGAGGCGAGCCCTGGGTCTCAAGTCGGCTCGAAGCTTGGTTTAGGGTTTAGGGTTTAGGGTTTAAAGTTTAGGGTTTAGGGTTTAGGGTTTAGGGAGCCAAAAAAGCACAACGAAACCGGGTTGTTTCCCAGGAGAGGTCCTTTTTTCTGAAAACCTCAGCCCCAAACCTTTCCGGAGCCCTTGGAATTTTCGGTTCTTGGCCTAGAAATGGTTTAGGGTTTAGGGACAGACCTTCGACGAAAGCACATGAAACATCAAGGAAAAGTCGATGAACAGCGTCCGCGGCACAGAGCAGTCAAAGATACCACTGCTGCAGTATGATGTGTCCTGCAGGCAAGAAAGACCGGTATAATTAATTCGGGCCATTCTGGCAGATTTTGCATGATGGAACCTAGAGCCATACGGTTGATGATGTAAATCCTGCATTACCCATAATAACGGGTTGTGCAGAATTCCAATAGTTTAGGGTCCTTAGGTAATGCAGGGTTTATATTTTATATCATCAACAGCAGGGGTTTAAAGCTTGGTGCTTGAAGCGTTTGCGGGTTCGGTTCCCTGAGCCGTGGTTCAATATTTCTGGGGCTTGCGGCTTCGAGGAGTCAGAGCTCGACGGGTGCAGGGCTGAATTGAGATGTTGCGGTGTGGGGTCTAGGGTTAGGGTTTAGGGTTTAGGGTTTGGGTTTAGAGTTTAGGGTTTAGGGTAGTATTGTTATAGGCATGGATTTGAGGTGTTATCCCTATAAGGGACATAGATCACTTTCGTGCAGAACGAATACCGAATATGTACCAAAACCGATACCCCTGCTGAATTCACCAGGCCTGGAGAACCGGTTCATAATCCCCAAACCGATACCCCTCTACACATGTCCGGTTCCGATCCTTAGAATAATGGCCGCCACTCAGTTGCAGAAATAGTTATCTAAGCTCCAGTTTCGACCTTGCTCATTAGTCATTAGTGTTGCAGTTGCTACAGTTGCTCTTGCATGCCTTTGTTGCCTGTACTGCTGCTACTTCTACTACTGCTACTACTACTACTACTACTACTACTACTACTACTACTACTACCACTGCTACTGCTGCGACTACTGCTGCGACTACTACTACTACTACTACGACGACTACTACTACAAGGACTATACAAGTATTACTGCGACAAGGGCTACCACACCCACTGCCATCAACAAATCGTCACGAAGAGCGCTAGTTAGTAAGGGCTCCAGCAGACCACCTTTGATTGCTTCGGTAGTAGAACCTGTTTTTCCCGCAGCTTGGGGTTTGGAGGTTAATGTAGGGGCCTTAATAATTAGAATGGAGTTTTGGGTTCCATTTTACTATAATTATAATAGGGAACCACCCAAAAAATAGCTTAGGTAATCATTTAGGCCCCTATATCAGGTTTGAATTTTTAGGTTTTGAAGTTCCGAGGTTTCAACGCGTATATAGGCGGTTTTGGGATGTACGGCGCTGCGGGTTTTAGGGGGCTGTCCAGGATGCCCCAACACGACCCGCAAGGCGATTGACGCCGAAGGGGCTCGGGGAAGCATACGGTTTAGGGGTTTAGGGTTTGGGGTTTAGGGTGTAGGGTTTGGTTTAGCAACAGATCAACTTGATATCATAGCATCTACAGTGTCCAGTCTCCCCCAAACCTTAGGCCAACACCGTGTACTAGGGGATGCTTAATTAAGAAAGGGGGATCCACAACTTATTCATCTCTTACGGTCCCTGATGTTCCCTAGCACCCTCCCCCCTTGCAACTACCCTCCCTAAGAGGTTCTATAGCTATAGTTGCCTGGACAATGAGGGTGGCCAGCTTCCTCTATGAACGGGGACAAACTCAAGTCTGCGCAAGTTCGTAGAACCTCAGCCTGAGCACCCTCACTCTCAAGTAAACTTAGGTGGGGCCTTCTCACGCTACTGTACGTGACCCTATGCAGCCCAAGTTGCTATAGTCAGGACTTCCGAATCAGGGATTCATACGTCATAAGGTTAAGGACCACCATAAATACAAGAAGGGTTATCCACGATGTAAAGCTGTTCAAGTTCCGATGAAACCCGGATCAAAGCCTCCAAAACCTCTAGTCTCAGCTTTCATTACCAGTCAGTCTTATTTACTTATCTAACTGAGACAAACCGCACGGAGGAAAACTGGTTTCAAGAACCACACCCCTTTTGGCTGAGCTGAGGTAGCTCCTCTAGAGGCTGTGATGCAGGTCTTCCTGGCCACTGACAGCAACATGCACAAAAGGACAAGCCTCATCTAGCCATCCTAGGTTGCGTCTGATATGGGGACCTGGTTGGGGTTCAGGGTTTAGGGATTAGGGTACAGGGTAATACAGGGCCTAAATAATTACATACATTGTTTTGGGGTTCCTTATGATGCTAGTATAGTATGCCCAAAACCCTACTAAAATTTTCAACCCCCCCTACATTACCCAAGCCGCCCCAGGGTCTGAACCCGGCAGTTTAGTGTGGTGTGGGGTGGTTCTTCTAGCACAACACGGTCGATGATATAAATCCTGCATGATCGTAAGGACCGTCAGGACCCTAAATTATGAGAATTATGGTATATTCCTTGTTATAGGTAAAATAAGGCCCCTACATTACCACTAAACCCCTAAACCTTCAACTGCCCGGAGCCTGTTATGGGTAATGCAGGATTTATGTCACCAGCCGTAGCACAGACAACCCTCGCAATCATGAAGCCAAGACTCCTACGCCCAAGCTCGAACCCTAAACCCCAAAGCCCAAATCATGAAGCGAAGACGTTTAGGGTTTAGGGTTTAGGGTTTGGGGTTTAGGGTTTAGGGTTTAGGGTTTAGGTATGGCAACCTTGTAGAACTTGTTGGGAGTCGCTGATCTGTTGGGGGCAGGCGAAAGGAAAAGTTGCTGTCAACCATCAGGATTTCCGGGACAAAGCTTCTCTAACCTTTTGTACGTCTCTTAAATCTAAACCCTAAACCCTAAACCCTAAACCTTAAACCCTAACCCCCAAGGTTAGAAGTATGGGCCCCGAATATGGACCCTTCGGCCCTTCTAAGGACCCTTGAGGGCACATATAGGGTATTTTAGGGTTTAGGGTTTAGGGTTTAGGGTTTAGGGTTTAGGGTATATAGTAGGTGTATAAGGATCCCAGGGTTAAGGCCCCATACTAGGGGCCCATGGTTTCAAGCTTAGATATGAAAGTACCCCGAATGGAAGCCTGAATTCAACCCCTAAACCCTAAACCCTAAACTTACCCTAAACTCTAAACCCTAAACCCTAAACCCAACCCTAAACCCCAAACCCTAAACCCTAAACCCTAAACCCTAAACCTTAAAAACCCTAATTCAACGGTCAGGATCTTCGGGACAAAGATTCTGAAGCAGTACAAGGCCGTGAAGGAGATCCTTTTAGCAGGCGACACCAACCGCTCCCTGTCCCGTTCAGAGGTCTCCGGAGGGTTCAGGTGGCTATAAGAATTCCTAAAACCCGTAAACCTTTTAAACAACAACGACTCTCAAGTAAGGGTTTAGGTTTTTGGACGGGACTTCGCGATTCGGAAGGTGAGGGGTTTACACGGGGTTGCAGGTTGTTTAGGGTTTATAGGGTTTTGAGAGGCGTTGGGAGCCCGAGTATACGTAGTCTAGTCGTTCACAACATTTGACTTTGATTTGTTGTGTCGTATTCGCATTGGGGCTTGATGCAGGACATTCTGAAAAAGATGCTGACTGATATTATGTTGCTCTAAGGGTTGTAAGACTAAGACCTTTCCAAGGCATTCATCATGTGGTGCGTTTTTTGGCTTGTGTTGCTTTCTATGCGTCTTGTTTGGTTGAAGCACTCTTTTACCCTAAGTACGGGTCTAAGTACGTAATAATCATCTATTCTCCCAAATATATTAACGCAGATAACTGGGTCCTTTGGACCCTTAGGGCAAAACCTTAAAGCCCTCACCCCAACGGTCTCATCCCCAACAGCCCTCGTAGCAGGCTTGAAAACTCTGAAAGGAAACCTGGAGGAGCCCTGAAAACCATAAACCCTTAACCCCTAAACCTTAAACCCTAAACCCTAAAACCCTAAAGCCCCAAACCCTAGACCCTAAACCCTAAGCCCTAAACCCTATAAACCCTAAACCCTAAAATTCTAAAGCCCTAGACCGAACTCTAAAACTCCTTCAGGTCTTGTCGCCGAACTGACATTCGTCCGCATCAACGACCTGGCAGTGCCTTCAGAGCCCATCCATTTCCTCCTGCGCCCCGGAAGGGAATCTGTAATCTAGGTGTTTATGGTTTCGAAAAGGCAGTGATAGGCTTGAGGTTTAGGGTTTAGGGTTTAGGGTTTAGGGTTTAGGGTTTAGGGTTTTAGGGAGCAGTTTCACCGAGTAGGCCCTATACACTACACCTTAAACCTACAATGTTCCGGATAAGTTTTGAGTGTTTCGGAGTAGTTTCACCTAATGGGCCCTATATACACTACCCACTTTCATGTCGTATCATGTTGTTAATGCCTCCAATGGTACGTATTTGTGCAGGTCCCCGATCCCAGCAACCTTGCACGCAGGGCCTTAGCGGTCGCGGGACAACGGCTTGAGGTTTTAGGGTATTGGGTTTTGGGGTTTAGGGGGTTAGGGGTTCAGGGGGTTAAGGTTTCGGGTTTACAGGTATTAGGGTTTTGGAGTTGAGAATAGAGTCTAACTAACGATTTGTCGCGCATGCTTCTTGGCCTTCGCGCAGCGTTGCTGAAACACCGCTTCATGAAATGCAGTTTTCTAGTTCGGTTGAACTTCGCAATTTCTCTTAAAAGTTTTGGGAGTGAGGGCTTAGCCCTAGACTTTGAACCTGAGGGCTCAACATCTATATCTATATCGATATCTATATTCATATCTATGTCTATGTATATGTATATGTGTATGTATATGTGTATACATATATATATATATATATGTATATACACACACACACACACACATCTGAGTATCATATATATATATATATACATACACATATACACACATATATGTCGAGGTACCTCGAGCCGCTGATCGCTTTAATCATCGTTGCCAACGGCCGCTTGCATCATTGCGGATTTTTCTGGGCTCCAGGGGCTTCCTTTAAAGGGTTCTCCAGGGGCTTCCTTTAAAGGGTTCTCCAGGGGCTTCCTTTGAAGGGTTCCTTTAAGGGTTTAGGGTTTAGGGTTTCCTTGATGCGAAGTTCGGGGACCTCAGCCGTAGAAAACTGAGACGATTCAACCACCATAGGAGAAGAGTTCCAACCAGATGGCCTGGCAAACAGTACTTGGAGGTTCATAAGTCGGTTCATAAGTAGGATAGCTGAACCCTAAGTCCCAAACCGTATGTTGCGAGGAGGTCCGTCGGGAGGGGTGGGTCTAACCTGTGTTAAAAACCCTTAAGCCCTTAACCCAAGTGAGGGGGAATGGGGAGAAAGCCCAAAGCATCGAACCTCACATGAACTTTATGGGTTGAGTGGGTGTTGAGTTCATTTTTTTTGATTTGGGATTCAGGTTTTCAGGGCTTGGGGTTAGCGCTTGCCCTTCCGATGCCTGCGTACTCAATCAGAAGGCCTTCTTCTGGTCGATGGACTATAGGCTATAGCGTGACATGCCGCCCCCCCACCCTCCTCAAAAAAGTAAAACAGCAACAACAAAAAGCCTGTTCGAATTAATTATTCTGGGCATGAGTGTTTGGGGTTTATAGCGTTCAGGACGCGACATGCTAGCACTGCCCATTTCAGGATCAAGTTGCCT